TTCATGCACAGGGAGTATGTATTGTTACACTGTCACCGAAGAAATGGTTCAAATTCTCACCTTGCGTACACCTGTACCATCTCAGTGAAGTCTCTGGCATAACTGGTGTAACTCCATATAACTGCCGTAACCGAGCTCTCTCGCGATAACGGCGATTAATCCACAGGACAGGAAAAACGGAAAACAAAATGTCTGAATCTGCCAATGGAGAATTTATTGGCTTTTATTTGCCAAAGTGTGCCGCCAGTGAGGAGTAGGAAAATGTATCCACAGTCAGCCTGCAGTGCCTCCAAGACACCCTTCCAAGCCCAGCAGAACATTCTGCAGTAGTTCTCATTCGCTTCTTACCCAAAAATGCCTGCAAGCCGAGCAGTTTATAAAACAATTCCGCTCCAACCAGATTAAAAAAGAAAAGAAAAAAAAAAGAAGAAAAAAGGAGAGATTTCTGGGGACCACTCTTAACGCTCCTGTATCTCCAGCTCAATAGCTGTATTCAACCTGTTCTGCTTGCTGCTCAGTCCCAATTACAATGAACTAGCTCGCTGCTCAGTCCCAATTACAATGAAAGTATTTAATTTCCTCTTTGATTTCCCTTCAACAACAGATTGCAACTTGTGACACTTCAAGTAATTTTGGTAGCTCGTTTAACACACACTGAAACCTGAATATCTGCTGATTATGTTCCCAAGCTCTGGCTCATTGCAATAAAGGATGGAGAAAGGAGATGCAATCTCTGGAGATTGAGAACTTGAACATGATTACTGCTGGCTGAAAACTTGTTTTGTCCCAGTAGTCTTGGGGTACAGCTAGACTCTTTCATGAATGATTAATGAACTGTAGGCACATCAATGACACTCTGCCATAAATGTATCTATAACCAGCTCAGGTGGGGTACAAAGAAGTCTAACCAGCCAGCATCCTGTAATTTACAACACTTGATGTAGTGAAAAGGAGTAATTCATCTCATTTACTGTGGCTGGTTTCTCAGGCTCAGGTACCTGAGTCACCTAAGTGATTGAGTTTTTTGCCCTGCCCGGCTTCCTACTCAGCATTAAAGTTATGTGGTGGGTTGGCCTCCAGTATCTGTGTTCATATCAAGGAGAACCTTCCTCCATCAATAACCCCACTGATTCCAAGAACTGCAGATTCGGGATTGTACTCATTACTGGTGAACACATTGAAGTGTAACTCAATCACTTATCAAGAGAATACTAAGCTTCCCATAAAGCACTTTGTAGTAGTAAGTCTTGGAGATCTTTAAATTCTGTCATCAATATCAAAATTCAAGATTATTTCTTATCCCTAGTTTCTATAACCAGCATAGTCACTTACTTTGAGGAATAATAAAGACTGTAGAACATATTCTCATCTTTCTTGATGGATGATGAGTTGGCCTCAGTAAAGTTGTTAATGATGTAAAATAAAATGCAAATTAAATAGCACAATCAAAATCAGCCTATTAAAAGAATAGTCGTGCAGGCAGTATATGATACTAAGTACCACCCTTTTGCTTGCATTGTTGCATAGATACTACTGGCATATTAGAAACATAATAAATCACACAAAGCTGTTTCTCTAGTGGGGAGTTTCTCAAACTATGGGTCATGACCCTCCGTGGGGATTTATGAATGAGTTTGAATGGGGTCACAGAAAAACTGTTAGCGAGAAGCAAGGGCAGATATTTCCCCCTAAGTTGAGCAGCCCGATCCTCTAGCAGAGGAACAAGAAAGCAGACTGTAATTAGTGGCTGCAAGTATTTATACTTGCTGGGGAACTGCTAACTACTTTTAATTACAGGAGCTCACTTTCTGCAGGAGAGGGGAGCAATATAGGCTAGAATTAAAATTGCTGGATAGTTGCTAACTGCCTTTCATTGCAGGCAATAGATCTGTTTCTCCAGGGAGGAAGAATAAACTTGCGACTGGATCTTATTCCCCCATCATTTAGAAATGGGGCCATTACCAACTCAGGGGGTCACACAAATATGCAGTCAAACATGGCTGTATTTTCAAACCATGTAAGAAAGAAATCAATAGTCTCATTTACAGAACATGCAACCACCAAGCAAAGAGTGAGGTGCCCCATGCAATCTGCATTGCGCCCTGGTGAAGGAGGATGTTTATTAAAGGACTTAAAATGAGAAGCTAATTAAAAATGTAGAATGATCTCACTGAAAAGCACTTGTACATTTCTCTCTGCTGCCCTGCCTGTCATCTGAACCCACTTTCTTGCCCAGAACGGATCACCTTTTCAAAGCTGTCAACAACTAGATGTACCAAGATGGAAACTGGAGATTGGCACTTGAGGCTGCAGTCCCACATCACATGGCCTGGCTTGGTTAGCACTGACGAGAGTCCTTTCCTTGTCCCTCCTGAGGGCAGCTTTCATCGAGACTGAAAGAGAAAGTAGCCAGCTCTTCTCCCTCTCTCAAAATCAGGGATTTTAGGGAAATACAGGAGTGAAATGTACCCCACATCCCCATGTTAGGGGCTTTTAGTGTCACCAAAGTCCATGTTTGCCTTCTTGAGCTCTTTGTAGGGTACATGAGGCGTGTGGCTACAGAGCAGCCTGTCTCCTTCGGTGCCCTCTGGCTATTGCAGCCACCACGTACCTTGTTCCAGGAGTGCTCTGCAGCTCCCCAGAAGGGAGGGAAAGCAATGTCAGGTGGAAGCAACCTAACTGGCAGACATGCCCTTATCTCAGCGGCGAGGCTTGCCGCTGCCCGCTGCCCCACAGTCCTGTTCCCATTCTCACGTTGTGCCCTGCCGTGTGGCACCCTCGCCCTGGGGAAGCATCTCAGAGGAGAGATCCAGTTTGTGAATGACCTGGGGAAAAAAGAAAAAGAAAAAAAAACAGATGGAAAAGTGTTGTTTTTCAGCTGGATCAGTTTTCCAACCGGTTGCATTGCACAACCTCATGAGCACCTGTGGTGGCCTGACCCAAGAATGAGAAACATTAAAAGTGGCTTAAACAGCGCTGCCTCGTAGTGGCTGCTTGTGAGGGCAAGACTAGCCATGGCTGCTGACAGGAGAGAGGAAGGAGGGATGACCTGAATGATGTCTATGCAATTTGGCCATGGAAAAGGGCTCTGATACGAAGAGGAGGAAGCTCCTGAGTTTTGGAGGCAAAGGCATAACACAGCCCAGGGGTCAGCACTGAAGCTGGGCAGTTTGAAACTCAAAATGGACATAGGTTCCTGCTAGTGACAGTGATTAGACATGGGAGGAGATGGACTTGTGCTGGCCCACAGCATTAAAGAAGAGATTAACCCATAAAACATGCATTTTGGGTCTCTCCTGCATTTGTGTACAGGAAGTGGGATTAAATTGTCATAATGAGTCCCCTGCAGAGGAGAGAGTAAAAACGGTGCCAGGCCGCTGAACTGGAGAGTGGTTGCTCCCATTAAGGCCTGTCCTGTACCCAGTGACCTGGATGGTGTGGACAGGGTTGTATCCAAAGCGTGCAAATAGGATGAGCTACCGGAGACAGTGAAAACCACTAGACTCACCGTGTTCTGCTCCTAACACTAACACCAGCGTGTTCATGCCACGGGCACACTCCCTCTCCCACTGCAGGAAGTCAAGGCTGAGGAAAAGCCACAGGGGACGCAGCATAGCCCTTGTCTCCCGACAATTTGGTATGTGATATACAGCAAACTACTTCTTCCCAGGGAACCCAGGAGGCCCAGGTTATTCCAGAAATTTCCCTGAGCAGAAATCATTCTCCAAAATCGAGTAGAAACCCTTCCCAAAGCATTTCTGCACTACTGTCAGATCTGCAGGGATCCACTCAGGGGATCTTTTCATACCTTTCTGTGAAATTCTCCGCAACTGCAACTGCAAGTCAGGTTTTATCAAGTTTTGCTTTGCAGCCTGTTGGCAACATGTTGACTAGCCAGAAAGGTTCCGTGCTCCATGCTCTCCAGTTCTGAACGGGATGCCTGCAAGCCATGGGGCTTGTTCAGGGATAGGGATGCAGTCCTCTGCAGCCTGAGAAGCCAGGGAGAATGGTTTCAAAAGCATTTTTACTGATAATTGCAGAGAGAACATCAGCATTTAATTCTCTACCCCTTGGCTCTGTGCACTGCTTACCTTTGTGTGTCCCTTCCATGCCAGATGAGGCACAGCCTGGACAGGTTTGGCTGGGAAGGGGATGCTCTGGGCAGCTCCAAGGAGAATGGAGTCTTAAAGCAGGTTTTCAAAACATTATGGATTTCTTCTTTGCTTAGCAGCTGGTTACTATGCCGAAGCCGTGAATCACACCACTTGAAGTGATTGAAGGAGGGGAAAGAATAATAATAATAAAGTGGCAAACTAGCTCAGGGATAGGCTTGGGAGTCCTATTAAACTTGAGAGGCTACGATTTCTATTCCCAGACCTGCTGGTTAACACAAGAACAAGCACCATGCTTCCCCACCCCATCCAAAGAGTTGTACTAGGCAAAAACTGAGGAGCAAACCAGCAACAGGTCAATCCTGTACTGTGTAGTCAAAATTTGCCAGCGGATTAACATGGCAGCGCTTATGAGAAGTCTGCAGCAGCTCTGGCAAGCTTTGCAAAATTTATAATTATAGCTACAGGCTTCATCGCGAAAGGAACCAAAGATGTGATGTTTGTTTCTGTGGAAGAGTGGGAGGAGACTCATGGTAAAGGAGAGGGAGTGGGAGTGCGGAAGCGGGGAGAGGGGAAGGCAGAGAACCGAGCCCTGCCGAGTTTTCAGGGATCCACAGAAAAAAATCATCTAAATAGAGTAGTTCAGACCTCAAATACCGTGCGGTGCTTCGACAATCTTCTGGTTTATGGCGTACTTTACTTAACAAAGTGTTCTTACATTTACGGGGCTGGAATGTCCATTTGACTATAGACTCTCTGCTACTTTGCTCGTACTTTAACATTTTGGACACGTGACAAAAATGTGTGTAACGCATTTTTTAAAGTGTTGATTGTGCTCGTAATTTTCAAGTCAGAATATAAAATAAACATCTCTGCCCTTTCTTCCAGCAGGCAGCACAGAGATCTGCTCTCCGCGTTCTATCTGACAGGTACATTTTGTCATTTTTATGAACTATAAATTGCTTTATGAAACGTTGAGCCCTATTTATTGTGGCATATAACTCATAATCGGATTTTGTCCCCAAAGTATCTGTGAACTGGGATGTTAAACATTTTGCATGCTTGGATTTGTCATGCATGTGTAGAGTTTATTACTGCAAAAATCACAGTCTTGTTGTATTTCATACAGAGTATGCAGAATCCCTTGTTGTGATACCAAACGAGAGATAAGAAACTTACTGGAGAAGGCATGAATGATGCAGTAAATTCTGAGCTTTAGAGTTTGCTGAGATATATCTGAGCTCATTTTTCAGCAATAAGTACTTCATTTATTCCGAGATGTTCTCTTTTGACTTTTTCCAAATCCTTTCCCTGGGAATTACTCTTCTTTTGATGAGATTCTCTGTATGTTTCAGGCAGAAAAACAATGCCCTTTTTTACCCCTGAAGTTTTGAGGAATTGACATTTTGGAGGAATTTAATTCATTTTTTCAGTTCTTCTGGAACTGCTGCAGTGCTCCAGGCAGATAAGCAGGGGACCAAATCCTTAGACAGCATTCAGGTTTTACTCAGCTCTTTTTCAAGCAAAAATCCATTAACTTCAGTGGGAAACTTGCCCGAATGAGGAATTCAGGATTTGGGCCATGGTAAATGTTATAGTTGGGCTGTAGGTCTGCACAGGTATTTACCTTAAATGACTTTTATGAAAGAGGATTGATTGAAATATAAGGTAGCTTTCTGAGACAGTCCTGATTTCTTTTCCAGTTTTGGGAACGGGGGGAGGGAAGGGGGAGGAGAGACTGTACATTTTAGTGCCTGTGAAAAAGAACCAGCAGATTTACATTTATCCACAAATGAGGTACTGTGTCATGCAGGCTGACACAGAGTAAATTTCCCCATGCCTTGTTGGCAGCCCCCTCTGCTCCGTCTGGCCCCCTGCCCCCCGCCTCCCTGGGAATAAGCGGTAATTGACTCTGGAAGCCAGCTTAGGCCAGGATTTCTCCAGAGCAGAGCCTGTCACTTAGGCTGAATTATATGTTGTGCATGGATGAATAACATTTCTCTCTGCTCGGAGGCTAAGACGGCCAAAATTATTGACCTTCCCCCCCAAGTTTACAAACACTTTTTTCTGTAGT